ATCAAGAATAATAAACCACTATGAAAGTGGCTATATGACAACAACCGTAATCCGTAGCCTAGTCTCAACCAATCCAGCACAACAATTTGCCCATGCAGGGACCAGCAGCAGAGTCAGGATGATAAAAGATGCTTTCACGCACCACAGAAAGGCGGCACAGCGGTTTTTCCTCTGGCCAAACTTCTGGGTGACTGAAGTTTTTCAGACAGTCCGGCGACTCGTTGTGCCCCCGCAGTATTTGTTGTGCTGCTCAGTGGAGCGCCTGTTGCGATGTTTATCCTTCCTAAGTAACATTGAGCCCAATTTCACAGCATCATCCAGGTGACTCCCGCTGTTCTCACCTCTCAGAAAGATGAAGATGAAAACAGGCACAGGACGGTCTCCCTCGAGGCATAATGTTAACAACCGGTGACACATGGCGCTGTCAGGGCTCCAGTGTTTGTACGCGTAGCTTGCTGTTAGCGAAGGTGCTAACCTGTTGCTGTCTGCAGACTAATAGCTCTCCACACAGTACAAATCACAAAACTGTGTAGCAGTGTGACAAACTTATTATAAACTAGCCAGTCTACTAACTGTCTCTGTAAATTAATTAAATTACACTTTTCTTTCTTCTGCAGCTTGTCGCTACCTCCAAAGAAAACACACACATTCGGCACAACACCGGTACTCTGATCTGCTCTGCCTGTTCCCGCCGCTTAACCAGTCACAATTTTAGAAACGTGATTGCCATCTACATGGACGAAGTAGAGGCCTCTCCTAAAATAAACATCATAGTCTGTCACAGCTCAGGGTCAGAGGTTAAAGATACCTCTTCAAGTTACAGAGCCTAATATGACAACACTTGTATGCTACTATCTATTCACCTTTTAACTCAAATGCAGGGGTTACATAATATACAGTATATAGCATTTTATACATATGCTCACATGAAATTTAGCTAACTGATTAGTTTCATCTGGTTTGATCGATAGATATAATTACAAGGTACAAGTAAGGTACAATGTTGTTTATTAGTCATTAAACAGCACAAGTCTGCATAAAGAAATTAAATTTGTAGTTCCTTCATGCTACACACACACACACACATCATATAATATTATTAATATTAAGTGTAGGCCTACATTAAAAAACATAACAACAATGAAAGTGTATGGAGTGTTCTAACATGTTAGAAGCGATTTAACGGGGTGCCACACCACGTAGTTGCTCTAGTAAATGTACCTGGTCTGCCTGACAGTTTCTTGGACAATTGTTACTGATGGTAGATGTGTGTCAGAGTCCTTTTACCTTTAATACCCAGGATTAGATATTTAAACATTTCTTATCATCATTGTCTTTTACTTCACCTGACAATCTGCCAACACTGTCCTTGTCCTTCAGGATAATGACGTTTTACAAGTCTCTTTAATGTTTCGAATTTCTCTGCCTTGCTATGCTTTTGTATTGCTTGATTATCAACCTGGCATAGTGGGAAACAGCCCTCTGGGGCCCCAACCACCCCAGGTGAATTGTGTGTCAGTTGGTTTGTGTGTAATTAGTACACACATTGGTTTGAGAATATGCATGACTAAGTCCATCCTCAAGTAGTGTGTCCAAATTAAGTTTCACAGCCTTTATTACTTTAGTTTATATGTGATTATATGATACATATTCCTAAATAAAGATGTGTTTCATCAAATTACCACAAAGGAACTGACACACAGTAAACGTAGGCCTGATTAGTATGAGCCAGTCTTCCATGTACAGTGTAGTCTGATGTGTGCACTAGACATGATGGGAACTTGAAGGCGACAGAGGGTGATCGGGGTCCCACCAGGGCCCCAAACAGGTTAAAATAGCCTTGTAAAAGTCAGCACTTATCATTAACATGAATAGGGACACATAATCCAGGCATATTTCCTCCAAAACATTTTTTGATAAAGCAAATTACAACACAAACTAAATTTGTGGGAGACTGTGTTGGTTGTTGGTGGAGAGCTTCCCTTCATTCATGGTAGCTCTCGAGGCTTGATACTTGCTCCACTACCACATACCTTCTTTTCCAAACATAGCTGTTTCTTGCTGGTTCTCCAACATTGCCTACTCTAGCTCTAAATATGCCACTATTGCATGTTAAATATGTATGAGTCAGTAATCTTGTCATCCTGAGGCATTTGATACACAGTGGAAACTTTCAAGTGCTTCCGTTTTGTGAGACATCCTGCTTTGTATCAGCTATAATCTTGGTCAGCTTCACACAGCCTGTGCACTCTGCAGATGGAGAGCACGGTATGTTGGTAAAAGCATAATCTGACGTGTGGGACATGAAAGAGAAAACATATATACAGGACATACATGTGAACCATAGTTTATCATCTGTAGCTACAACAACAATAGTAATAGCAGTAATTTGTCATTCCAGGTACTCGGGGATCAGAGCTGACCATCAATGTGAGGAAGAATGCTTCTGTAACACTTGTGTGTTCCAGCAGTGCGAGCTTGTGTTTCTGCCCTTACCATCTGATCTGCACAAGGTGTCTAGGTGTAACAAGCCCTGTGACAGTCTCTTATAAAACCACAGAGAAATATTTTAACTTGTCTGGACTCAAGCAGAGTAACTCTGGACTGTATGAGTGCTCAGGTTCAACATGGCAGAAGTACAAGTTAAATGTGTTTGAAGGTAAGTTCTACTATGTTTGCTGTACTTTTGTTAACTCTGTGGCTTTTGACAGACTAATACTTGCAGGCTCATATTTCTGGTAGATTACTTGGTAACAGCATAATTCTACTGATAACTTGATTATCACCAAAACCGAGGTCACAACATTTTGCAAAGGATCACATATTACAAACCACAGGGTTGTGTTTGTATGATAAGCTTTCACACTGATAGACCCAAAGCGACCTTCCTAGATCTTCTCCGCAGTATGCACCAACAGAGTGCATTGCATGTTTCTGAACACTGTTCTGCTTTTGGTCAAATAAGCATCAATAGAATCACTGTCATAAAGCATATTTAACCTGCAAGACAAATCAGAGCAAACAATCATTAACGACAAATGAAACAGCCAGAGAGGTCTCACCTGCTCTTAAGGCTAGGTTGGTCAGTATATTCTGAGCAGTACATGTTCTGTGCTGGGCTACTTTCCCCCTTCAGTTCCTTGCATCTGTACGCATCTTTCATGTACACGTGATTTCTTTGAATTCTGCCTGAAACACTTTTCACAGCCCTCAAATTTGATCCAATCTTCAACAAATTTCACATTCTGTCAAACTGGACTGCTGGTTTGATTTTCAAAGGATTTTTTTAAAGGAATTGCCTTTTGTTGCAATTCAGTTCTAAAGGTTGTGACATTGTGGCCTATTTTAGATAAAATGAAGTGAAGCCTGCAAGCTGGTTCGAGCTTTCTCCTCGAGTCTTCCGCTATAATCACATATACGATGTATTCAATACACCATCTGCCACACTGCTCACCTAAAAACTACTGCTGCTGTTCAGACAGCATTTCAAAAGCCCCACCTCCAGTCCAGCATCCACTTGACTCTGACTCTACCTTCCCAAGGGGGGATGTTAGTATCATCACTCCCTGTGTGTCACTGTAGGAGTGACGACAGAGCCTAGACGCAAAATAGAATTCAGAATATGTCAAAATCACTAGTTTGTCCCAGAGAATTCAGTCCTTTTGCAGCACATGTTGCAATATGTGAAGAACCTTTAGTTCACTGTAACCTGTGGTCAATTAGATAGGCCTATATTTTTTGAAAATGTGTATAATCAATGAACTCTAAAATCTCCTGAACACTGATCAAATGCATATCTTTTATGCAACCACAACTGTAAAATGGTGTAAAAAAGATTTTGTAAATGCTCCGTACTTGTATAGCGCCTTTCTAGTCTTTTCGACCACTCAAAGCGCTTTTACACTACATCTGCATTCACCAGTCATACACTGAGCCTAAGTGCTCAAACGGAAACTAACATTCACACTCATCCATACACTGGGGGCAATTCGGGGTTCAGTATCTTGCCCAAGGACACTTCGACACGCAACTAGGGGGAGCCAGGGATTGAACCGCCGACCTTCCGATTAACGGCCAACCCGCTCTACCTCCTGAGCCACAGCCGCAATAAACACGTTGCAATAAGAGTAATGTATACTGAGGACACAACAGCATCATTTCTATATTTGACAACATTTCTCTGATTTCTCTGGTCTTCAGAATCATTTCAGCGTTTTTTCAGAACTGTATTATTGTTTTTGTGAATTAAATACTTTCCACTACATTGATTCTCATATAGTCTATGGTATTTATGAATTAGTCTGTGAAAACAACAGGAACAAAGTTCACCTTTTCCATTAGTGACTGTGGCCTACAGTACTGATCATGTGTACATTGTTAGTTAATCACTGCATTTAAAGTTTTAAGTCCAATAAGCTGATTGTTTCTCTCTACTGTCAATAATTTGCACGCATCAGTGACTCTAAAGTCAAACTGTTGCATAACTGTTTTTCTTTTCACTTTGTCAGATCAAGACCCAACTGTTGTGATTGGGACTGAGGGACAGTCCGTAATCATATCATGTGGCACTGAGCTGGACATCATAGCCGCCTCAGAGAAACACTGGTGCCGCTTGGACAGTGCAGGATTTTGTCAGCCAGACACAATCATGAGTTCTAAAAATAAAACCAGAGAGGAATTCAAGATCCTTGACAGTCATGGCTCATTCTCCCTGGAGAAGCACCAGCTGACACACAACGATTCAGGATTTTACCGACTCATTCAGATATTTCCACATCAGACAAAGGCCTGTGTAGTGGAACTCCAGGTTAAAGACAAACCCAAATTTTTGCACATCAGTCCCGTTCAGGACAGGCCAAAGCCAGACAAGCCTTTTGAGATCATGTGCCAGTATTCCCAGGAGTTGCAGGAATTTTGGAAAAATTGGCTATGTGACGATTCAGAGTGTCCTGAGACAGTGAAGAGCGTAGACGATAGGTTCAGGTCTGCCTAGTACTGACTATTGATCACGTGGCTTGCTCAAATATTAGATCTTTCCAGTGTTTGGCAAAGACGTCAGGGAGCACTGTAAGATCCAGTGTTTACCAGAAACCTTTGATCCAGAATCCTGTTGTAAATGTGGAATTATATAATGTAAAGAATGGGACTGTAAAGGTCACTGCTTACAGCCAGCTTAATCTCATTTGTTTTAAACCTAACAGGTATAATTGGGACAGATGGGATGCAAGGTATAATGACTTTTATTATTATGACCACACTTACTGGTGTAGAGTGAGTTACGATCACTGTCTGCAAGTGAGAAAGAATGTACTAGAGACATTAACCTCAGTCACATTAGAAATATGTGTGACGCCAAATGATGATGGAACAACATATCGCTGCTCACCCGGGAATAAAGAGGTTCGAATTGTTGTCATCGGTATGTACAATACTGCAGATTAAACGTTTATGTTTAAAAAGCAGATATGTTATTTTGTTGAGGAGGTGGTATTATACTCATTTCCAAGTTCAAAATCTTATTTAGGGGTTGTACCAGAACAGGTTTTCATTGTTTCATTTGAAAAAAACACCATATTTTTGTCATACTGCACATTGCTGCAGCTCCTCTTTTCACCCTGTGTGTTGAAGGCTTCGTTTTAGCTATGGAGTGATACATCCTTCTACATTTTTTTTGCTGGGAGTTGCACATGCGCAGTTCCTAGTTAAGGGCTTCAAGCCAATCAGAAGCAGAGAAGGGCGGGTCAGTGAGAAGCCGGTAAAAACGGCTTCGGTTTAGCTGTGTATCCCCTTACCGGTTTAGCAACATGGACTGGAGCAAGAGTTTCAGATTGACGAGTTATTAATTTGTAACAAAAGTATCTTTCATCTATAAAGTTTTAACTGAGATCTGTCTCTACATCACAGTAACAACTTTATGTCCACTGACTGCCTGGAGGGTAGCTAGTGTTTGGAAAGGAGAGGAGAGCTGTGTGCTGCAGCTCACTGTTTTTCCACCGGTGTCTTTTGAGGGTGAGTCGGACTAGCCGCTTGGTAAACGTATATGATGTGCATTTTACTTTCATCCCTGTGACGTCACAGGGATGAAAGGGAAGCGGCTGAACTACAAATAGGGTGTTTTCAGGCAGTTCAGAGCAGAGTTTTCTGTGGGATATGGGAACTCCCTTTGGACTGGACTTTTTCACTTTGCAAACCTATTACATGCACAAAAAAGGTATATAACTCAATAAAGGAGAGGGAAAAAGGCAAAAAGCATAATACCACCTCTTCAAATATTTGTAAAGGTTGTGTGTGATGTATCTGCACTGTAAATGTGTCTGACTTTGAAACCATCTTTCCCTAACGTTAGCAAACCAGTTTTCACGTCTCACCACATCCAAACCCTGACAGGATCATATGAAGTGCTTTTGCAATGTGCCCCCCCCCCCACAGAATCTTGGTTCCAGTTAATAAGTGACGAATGGTATTCCAAGTTTGTGCTAGGATGCAGATTGGTCTCCTGCATGAAAGTCAGACATGCTGCATCATGGCAAATGAAGATGCATTCTATGTTCAGTGACATCACATTTTACTCTCCATCTTACAGCACCTCCTCCTCAACGAGTCATTCCAGCTGTGAGGCCCATAACTCCCGGGAACGTTCTACCAAAGTTGTATTACATGTTCTTTTTTCTAGTATTAGAACATTTATTGCAGCCAGTTTAACTCTGAAGTTTCCTGACACTAAATATTCTTGTCTTCCAGAGCCAATAGCGGCATAGAGCATGGAGTTGGCATCATAATAGTATTGACCAGCGTAATACTTCTTATCATCATTGTGTGTGTTACTGTCACCACATGCAAGGGTAAGTACCAGCAATACACTTTATAATTTATTATAAATAATGCCCACTTGAGATTCTTACCGTATGATAAATGATTTCACACAATATATCATCTATCATTTTAATTAATACAATTTGATTAACAAAGGGGCAAGAAAAATATTCAACCTACAAGAAAGTGATGTATCATGAATATTCATAGAAGGGATCTTTGTGTGGAGTTAGGTTATTTTTTCGTCCAATGTTGTTGCTGTTTAATTGATCGGTGGAGAGCACACTGACATTTAAATGCAGCATAATTACAGGATTATAATAAATATAACTTGTCAGAAATAATAGAAACATGTATAAAGCAACATGATACTGCTATACTGCGCACACAATTATTAGGCAAGTGAGTATTTTGACCACATCATAATCTTTATGCATATTTTCCAACTCAGCTGTACAACAACAGCCGTATAAAGTTGAATGCTCATTGGACTGAAGCATATCAGGTGCTGTGAATTTTTGTAATAAAGGAGAGTTTGGCCTAAGGAGATTAACACCTTATATCAAGGTGTGCAGCTTCATTACCTCAGGTAAAATAGGCCAAAAAAGAGATTGAACTGACAATGAAAAGTCAAAATAGTAAAATGCCATTCAGACGGATGCAACACCTAAACTTTTGAGGCATGACCACCTGTTGCGGCCACAACTAAAGTAAACTCAAGTGTGACCAGCAACAAATCAAAGGACACCACCAGATGATTAGTTATAAGCAAATTAATTTATTTACAAAGTAAATGACCAAAATTCTAATCAAACTATGGGACTCTGGAGGTCTGGCCAAAATAACAAAAGAAGTGAGGAAGACTGGGCTAGCTCACCAAGGGCTGAAGGACCCAGGATTCACCCCTAAACTATCCAAAGGAAGTATCTAACCTAACAAAACCAAAACCGTGAAAACTGAACTACCAGTGGCCTGTACTATGAAGGGAGTTCAACCTCTTCAGAGTTAACTCAGGGTAATCAAGCAAACTCAGGGTTGACAAAGTCTGACTGCCTACACTGTTGTCAACATTACTACGACGGTGAATAACATGTTGCTTGTGCATGCTCTGTATTTTCCCCAGAATGCATGTTGATTGCGTCAGGATATGAGGAGTTTAAAGACACATTAACGGTCAAATCTAACATCATGGCGGCCGACAAAAAAGACAAAACAATTATCTTATCTCCTTTTAAGCCTACTTCAGTCATGACACAATTGCATTAACGATCAGGCTCCCTCATTCATCCTCTTTGTTAACGTATGACATAATACAACATGTGGGCTACCTGGTTGCCTAGGCAACGATAAACTACAGCGCTGCTAGTCAACGGTCTGGGCTCTGCCTCTGACGGTCTACATTCTATTAGCTAAACGTTTGGATATAACGAATTAAAGAACAACATAATAAGATCCCAATGCCCCAGTGCAGTGATGTGGACACTGTGCTATAGGAGCTGCCGTCCTTCAGATGAGACGTTAAACCGAGGTCATGACTCATTGTGGTCATTAAAGATCCCATGGCACTTGTCGCAAAGAGTGGGGGGTTCCCTCGTGCCATGGCAAATTGCCCAACCTGGCTTTCACCATCTGGCCATCTAATCATCCCCCATAGTAATTGGCTCAATGTTTCCCTCCCTCTCTGCCTCAAGCTGATGTGTGGTGAGCGTTCTGGCGCTAAATGGCTGCCGTGCATCACCCAGGTGGGTGCTACACATTGGTGGTGGTTGAGGTGATTCACTGTGAAGCGCTTTGAGTATCTATGATAAAGCGCTATATAAATGTCATTCATTATTACATCATTATAAGAATGCAGCACAACCCACAGCTTACAGTATTTCACAAAAGTGAGTACACCCCTCACATTTTAGGAAATATTTGGTGATATCTTTTCATGTGACCACACTGAAGAAATGACACTTTGCTACAATGTAAAGTAGTGAGTTACAGCTTGTATAACAGTGTAAATTTGCTGTCCCCTCAAAATAACACCTCACACAGCCATTAATGTCTAAACCACCGGCAACAAAAGTGAGGACACCCCTAAGTGAAAATGTCCAAATTGGGCCCACAGTGTCAATATTTT